AGTGCCGATCTGTCTTCTTAGGATGTTGTTAAATATCTGGGTCACATCTTTCTTTCCCTGTTAAAGTAACAAACAACAAATGAATTGTACACTTTAAATGGATGAGTTGTATATTTTATGAATTCCACCTCAAAAGCTAAAACACACGCAGAAATAGCACTGCCCTTTCTATACAAAAACATTAGATAATTCACTGTTAAAATAGCATTGCCCTTTATATACAAAAACATTAGCTAATCCAATGTTTACAAGCTAGGCTTTAAAACATAGACTCAACAAAACAGATGCAGCCCTTTCGCAGGCATTTGCACTATGGGAAATCTGGCCAATTGGAGGTCTGTTTCTCACAGAAATAAATAAAAAGGCACAAAAGGATATAAGATAGAAATGAGTGACACTTTAATATTTTTCTTGTTACTTCTGAAGAAAATTATAACTCACAAATACATGAAAAGATAAAGTAAATATTTTATTAAAAATTATGTGGATTAGAATCAAACTTGTTCTTAGATATACTTCTTGGCACTTTCCCTTCATTTTATCATTCCTATCCCTGTGTGGCCTTCTGCAACGCACACACCTTGGTCCCTTAATTTAACAACAATAAAAAGAATTTTCTTCTAGGTAACTTATGTGATCTTGAGAAATCACATCTGGCCTAGAGGAAGAGAAGTAACTTTCTGGTCACTGTTGTTGTTGTTGTTGTTAGGTGCCATCGAGTTGGTACCAACTCATAGTGACCCTATGCACAACAGAATGAAACACTGCCCGATCCTGGACCAACCTCAAAATTGTTGTCACGCTTGAGCCCAGTGATGCTGCCATGTTGCCAATCCATCTCGCTGGGGGTCTTCCTCTTCTTCTCTGACCCTCCACCCTACCAAACATGATATCCTTCTCCAGCGACTGGTCCCTCCTGACAATATATCTGAAGTATGAGAGACAAAGTTTGGCCATCTTGGCCTCCAAGGAGCACTCTGGCTGCACTTCTTCCAAAACAGATTTGTTTGTTATTTTGGCAGCCCATGGCACTTTCAATATTCTCCACCAACACCATAACTCAAAAGCATCAATT